AACTCATACAGTAATTCCAGAAAAAAGTAGTCAGCCACTATCTGCAACAACCCCAAAGTATGATGATATGCATGTATACACGTTCATACAAAGTTTATCTTTAATCTTTCTTTTAATCTTTCAGATATGAAATTAGAACAGTTTCCTTCATTAAGTCTTTCTTAACAAGATAAAGAAAATTCCTCTGTGTTCTCAGAACCACTTCAACTGAAAAATATGAAATCTGGTATCTGTGCTTTGCTATGTAATTGGCTACTTTTAAAGTTATCTAACTTAACTCCTGGTGGTTTTTTTTGTTTGGAGAGGGGTTTAGTTGTTTGTTTGTTTGTTTTTCAGCATCTAATGAGAAAGGAGAGCAGGGTCTGTTGTGATAGGACAAAGGGAAATGGTTTCAGAGTGAAAGGGGATATTTAGAAAAGGTTTTTTTTTCCAATTAAGTTAGTGAAGAACTGGAACTGAACAGGGCTCCAAGCAACCTGATCCCACCTGTTCATTGCAGAGGAGCTGGACCAGATGACCTTTAAAGGTTCCTTCCAGTTCAAATGATTCTGTGTTTCTACAACTTTACTATTCTCTGGCGCCTATGTAAGATTTTTGTACCACACAGAAACTGCAGATTAGATTACATATAAAGAATCAACAATAATAGTAGCTGCAATAAATTTAGTGAAATACAAATATCTAAAATTGAGTACAATATTCCATTTTAATAATATTTATTTAGAAAAAAAAAAAAAAAAAGACTGATAAACACTGAGTTTAGCCTTGATGTGCACCAATGCACTTGGAGTCTAATATACTTTTCTCCATCTTAAATAAGCGTTTTATTTATTTGATCTGGATTATTTTTCAGATAGGTTTAAATTTTGCTTCTTTTTAAATTTTTTGCCTCTCTTGCCTAAAACACATGTGGTAAAAATCTCACAAGTCTGACATGTTATTTCCATTCTTTTCTCTCTCTTGCACACGGTCTGCCATTAGAGTAAAACCTACTTCCATTCCCATATCAATATTTAAAGATGTTTTGAATCTCTCTATATTATTTAATCAAGACTTTCCAATTTTACATTCATATTGTAAAATACATAGTATATGTATTCCATTCAGTACACAAAAAAAATGTCTCTAAATAATGATTTTGTGTCTGACAACGATCAGTATAATGTGTGTCAGTATAAAATGGAAAACAACATTAAAGAAACATTTTCAGGAATAACATGTTTGTAAAAAAAAGCTTAACTAAAAATCAGCATGTAAAACTTGAAACATATCACTACTGGAAATAGGAACTTCAAAAGACAGACAAATCACCACAAAATGCAATTCTTCTATTCCTTTATTTTTTTCCCTGAAAATAAAAATGTTACTAAAACACATATTTATGAATTGCATTTTTTTTGTGAAATCCTTTCTCAATAACAGATATATTTAAGTTGGAGTTTTCTAATAGATTTGAGAGAAAAAATATTAAATTATGAAAATTCTGCACACATTTATGATATATGCTATCTAAGGGATTCAAAGTACTTTTAAATATTGCTTTGAAGGTCAAATCTAAAAGTAAAGTTCAAAAGTCAGATTTTAGTTCTGAAATATTTACAATGCTATTTAAATAATTTCACTGAAAGTAACTCCTCAATATTGACTTATTTAAAATTCATTTATTCTTCTTCAAATCTTTACCAGCAAGCACACATCAACATTTTAGAGGAAAATACTGGAGACAACCGTACTGTAAAGTTCAATATTTTAAAAAATGTACAGCAAGTTCTTCTGAATTTTCCTTAATCTTTATGCATTTATGTGCATATCAGATACTTGGAAACCATACAAAGTACGTTCTGCAGAAATACATATATATATATATACCAAGCTATTGATAAAAACAAGTGAAATTAATGTTAGACTTAGAAATGAATCCTCCCCCACCCTGAAACAAAATTGATTCTATTAAAATGATAAATGAAATGGAAATTAAAATTTTAATGAGGTGCTTGTTAATCCATTTGTTCACATCTAATTTGAACTTGGTTAAATTGCTACTTATTATGAATACTATAGATATGATTCCTTCTAAATCTCAAGGGCAAACAAAGTGTTAGAGGACTGCTTGTCCCAAGATAGGTCCACAGTATATTATCCAACCTTCTGAAATTAAGCACTGGAGCTATTTCCTGTGATACATTTCATTTAAGAAAATTAATGACATTTTAAAGCACTTGGTTAAGTCCTTTGACATGGTAATTGTCCATACCAGAACAATAGAAGAAATATAACCAAAAGGAGACTGCCTACCTGCCATTGATCTTTTCAAAGACTGGAAGCTTTATTTGTACCTATTGCAATTCCCAAGGACTTTATCAAGTGCTATAATTCCTCTTATTAAGGTTTTGGGTTATTTTATCTTACTTGTTTTTCCATTACATGTGCACAAGTTTGGGTGGTTTTTTTTGTGCAGACATGTAAAAAATGTTTTTTTTCTGATTGATATTTGCAAGTGGTAAAAAAATTAAACCTCACCTATAAGATAGTACTGAAACTACAATACAGGTAGCAGAGCCCTGGGTACAATTTGTACACAAAACCAAAAATGCAATGCAATTGCAGCAGTGAATAATAAATATTTTTTTAAAATAATTACACAAATTCTGCATATTAGCAAAGAAATGCTACATTTGAGGTTGCATACGCTTACCCCATAATGGATCACCTGGACTAATGCATTATAAAAACTCCTTAATTTAAATAGTCAGATATGATATTTCAAATAATTCAATACATTTAGAAATAGTAGGCACTTAATAATATTTTACTCAAACCCTGCAGTTGTGCAATCATCAATTGTCTTATGGTCAGGATATTAACAATAGTTTAAGACACTTTGCAACTTTAGTGAAATACAGCAGCACTCAAGCTCAAGAGTTAGCTTGGAGTTTTTTTGTTTTATTTATGATAAATTATCTTTTTGCATTGCACTGTATTTTAATTTTTCTGGCAGAATTTGCTATACTTCTGAACATGGCTTCTTATAATGCTCTACACAGTGCACTATGTGCAGCTTCAGTTGTCACAGTACTAAAAGGACATAAAACTATTGGAGAGTGTCCAAAGGAGGGCTACAAAGATGGTGAAAGATTCTAGAGGGCAATGTGTATGAAGAATCTTTGACGTCTCTCAGCTTTTTCAGCCAGGGGAAGTCTGAAGGAAGGTCTCAGGGTGTCCCTGTCAAAGAGAGGGACAACATTCTTAGACACAGGGTTTGAATTCCGGGTGATGCTGTGTGGAGGCTGGAGATGGACTCATAGAATAGAATCAGAGAATCAGAGAATCAGAGAATGGCTTGTGTTGGAAGGGATCTCAAGGATCATCATGCTCCAAACCCCCTACCACAGACAGGGCCACCAGCCTTCACATTTAATACTAGACAAGGCTGCCCAGGGTCCCATCCAACCTGACTCGATGTTCTCCCTTCCGAGTCAGGATATTCTGTCGTTCTATGAATATGTCCACAAAATGTCCATTTTTAAGGCTTTTCTCATTTTTTTTTATAATTTTTGAAGAATATATGTCCACCATGTTAGTGGAGAATATATGTAGTACATTCAGATGACAGTATAACATTTAACCTAACAAAGCTTTTTCCTTTCTTTGAAGTTTCCCCAGCACATATTATCAGAAAATAAAATATTAGGAATCCCTTTTAAATAAAAAAATAATTCACACAGTTATTAAAAACAAAATTCACCAAAAAACATCCTTAGTGATCTGATAGTTTACCTTTGCAGCATAACTTACTGTCTTCCTTTACTAAATCTTTAGTCACCTTATGTTCATATTCTTTATTTTATATTTTCTCATCTACAGGCTCTAAAACTTACCCAGAATTCTAAGCAGCAGTAAAACTTAGCCATAATTCTAAATCATAGAATATGTCTGTTGTATCATGATCTAGAAAAATCTATGGAAGAAAGTCCCTACAAATCTACAACACACAAATTGATTACCTATTTTTTGCAGCAAAATTTGCATTTTCCTTTTCCTGGTATAGTTTTCATCTAATTCCTAAGCAAAGATTTAAGTAGTCTAAATAAAATACATTAGGAATAAAATTTCAAATAGCAAGAAAAGATAGTGTTTTGATGATCAGCAAAACTAAACTAAATAAACACAGTTTAATTTTGGGGCACTCAGATAAGAAAGAAAAAAACAGGAAAAAAAACCCCAACAACAAAAGAAAAAAAAAAAAACTGTAGCTACTTAATATTACTTATTCTAATTTATGTAAGCTTATTTCACTCTGTGCTGAAATGAACTTGGAGCACTCACATATTAATCCCTTTATCCTCTTTCAGTGTAATGAACAGCTGTAGGGTAATAAATCTCTAAAAGCATGGTATTGGTTCTGTAAGTAAGCACCTGTCTACACATTTAGTTACATTGCTTTGTCCATACCTCAGGTATCTGATTTTACAAAAGTTGTTCCTTATGACTTCCAAGATGTGTGAATGCATATCTATAGTGGTACTAAACTGGATACTTCTCATGAAGGAAGATTATCTCAAATGATTTGGGATCTTTTCTCTTTGCTTCAGTTTTCTTGTGAAAAAATATTAATGCACAAACTGAAGGGAGAAGGGATACAAAGGAAAACAGGACTGCGCACTGGAGTGCTCTGTGCTATCCCCAAGCCAGTTCTTTCCTGAATCTGTAATAAGAAAAAACATTTCCGGAATCACTTATACCTTCTAATTTTGAGTAAAGTGGCTTAGTGTAACTTTACATGTTTTGACTGATAGCATTAAAACAGCTCAGTTCCCAATAGATTAAAAATGTTACACAAATTAACAGATTTCTAGCGGAATATTTCTTTTTTTCCTCTGAAGAAAACATTTTAAAAAATCCAGTTCAATTCCAGTTCACAATAAATTCACATGCAATCAGGGAGAGTCAAGGGTTAAACAAGTAGTAGCCATGAGCCAATTGCTCAGTACTTTGAACTCAGCAGCTGCACACCTGCACATGCGAAAGGGCCATCTGGAAAGCAGATCACTACATGAGAAAAAAAAAAAAAAGAAAAAAAAGAAAACGTAGATGGACTATGGGGCACTCATAATAGGTAAAGTAATTTTTCATTATTCCTAAGTTTTTCTTTTTTCTTTTCTTTTTTTTTTTTTCTTTTTTTTTACTTGTCTTTGAGGAGTGCTTTATACTTAAACTGCAGGCAGCTCCTGTGAGTAGAACATGTGTATTTTAATATTGTGCTAGTAACTGCAGTAAACCAAGCGTAAATGAATGTTTCAAAGCCATTTGTGCTTATATGTATAGAGAGATAGTGAAGTTGTGTGCAGTTTGCAAATTTTAGACTCAAAGAGGAGGAGCTCAGGACTCATTTTAACTTATAGCTGTACTGCTAGAGGCAGCCAAACACCTGCAGAAGAATAAATATGTGGGACTGAGGAGAAGCCTCTAAGAGCGGGTCAGTCATGAGCAGAAATTTTTTTTATTTAATGAGTTGAGTGTATTAAAAAGTAATAGACTCATAGAACAAGATTTAAGTGACAAGTCTGAATTCAGTTGACATCCTACCTTCCCCCAGGTTTGAGTCTCACTGCCTGCATTTCAACACAAATATGCACACAGCAGTCAGTCTGCAAATGCACAGCAAATTCAAAGTCCTGACAACATTTGATTTATAAAGTCCAACTGCACTGTGTGCACAGTAAATATCTAATCCTTTCCCATAACTGAGGAGTAAAGAACAAAGAAATAGGTAAGAGCAGACTGTCTTTCACAAAGTAATTCATTCAGCTCATAGATAGGTTTTGGTTGACATCTTTCTTAACAACATATGAAATTTGAGCAACTGATGAATAACACCAGTGGTAACAGCTAGCCCTTTCCATTTCCCCTCCGTAGTTTCTCCCATTGTGGCTCAGAAAGGTAATAACCAAAGGGCAAAATTTATTTATTCTCAACTTTTTTGAGCACTTCTGGCTAAGAATCATTTTTTGGTTTTATATTCAAGCAATAGCTGTACAATAGACACCTGACTCAGAACTATGAATTACTTGATAACCTGTATAAATAATTTATTGTTTGTTATTACTAAGAAGAGATATTCCATGCTGC